GCGCGCCCCGTGCGTAGCGCGCCCGCTGTGTGTACTGCTGTGAGCCACGACAGATATAACTACCGCGCGGACACGGGCAATTTCTTTCATCACCAAGCAGATACTAATGCTCTTTCTTTCTTTCAGATCCGATGCATTTTTGGGAACGGAACTTCAAAATACTTCGTGTGTGCATTCATCTGTACCGCAGCATGTGTCTAGCTATACCTCCTGCACAGCTAATTGTTGGCATGTCTACCTTCTATTACACAGCACTTACGAGATGGTACACAAGCGCATGAAGCCACATGCACGTTGTGTTGTGATGGACATCCACTGCGGCTGTGCTGCTGCTGCTTTATAGAGCCAAGCGGAGAAAATCTTCCAAAATTGGGAGAAACAAACAAACAAACGCAACTTGCTGGAATCCGAGCCCGTTTCCGGATTCATTGCTATAATCCTACACGGCCATAGCATCATCCAGACTTATTCACAAAACACACACAAACAGAATCGCTGTGATGTACACGTCTTTGATATCTCACTGCGACCCTTCGAACCTGGAGCTGTGGCTGTTTCGCTCTATGCATACCAACGTATCCATATCCGATCCTCGACCTCTAGCAGTAGCTGCGGCGCCAACTTGGTTGTGCTAGTGCTAAAAGTCCTACAGCTCTGCACAACGTTGACAAGTAACATCGCAAAACCTGCCATTGTATATGGGGGGTATATTGGATTTCTTACCCCCCCTTTCTTACCCCAGTCATCTTGACCCTAGTTTTTTCTATTCCAGTCAGCCCGCATTCCCGCAATATGGCTTTTGGTTTTCGAGTTGGCCATCTCGGATTTGTTCCCCAAAACTAAGTCATTTTTCTTTGGTCGACGTTCTTGAGTTTGCTTGACATATTTTCGAGTGGGTTGGAAGGAGTGTAGCTGCTGCCACCGCCCGCCATTCTTGCAAGTTTGGTACCTAAGCATCCGGCAGTTTATGATACTCTCGTGTCTCTTGGTCGGCCCCTTCTCACGACTACTGCCTTGTTCGTAGATCTTCGCAACCCCCTTGGTGCCACACCGAAGGTGCGATCCACGAAAATGTTCGCCGCCGCCCCACTGCTCCGCCCCCCCCGGCGCGCCCCCCGGTGTTTGCCATTGTTCGGGTTGGGTTTTCGTCGCTTGGCAGCGACGTTGTAAAACAACCCAATACACTTCGTGAACTCGGCAAACAGGTTACCGTTTTTTTTTTAACCTCTGTTTTTTTTTGGGGCGGTAACCATAATGGTGGTCGAGTAGATCATGTTGTGCGGGGTCGAGAACCCTCACTCCGCGCAAGGAGGATGATCGCACCATGTTGTGTTAAAATGGTCAAGCACCCTCGAGGCAGTTACACACTACCGGTCGCCCTGGTGGTCTAGTGGGTAGCCTTGCAGCCTGCTAAGGGCCAGGGTTCGAGTCCCGGCAGAGAGAGGTTTTTTTCTCACTAAATAAATCCTGGTCTAGGATGAAAGCGACGCGCTGCAAAGCTCGTTTGTTAGTAAAACTATTATCGACTTCGAAAGTCGCGAGGGAAGGGATTGCTGTACCCTTCTCGCGATAAAAATACCTCAGGCATGAACCGCAGGAGGGGATCCAACCCCCCCTTCCTATGTGACCCCGGTTGGGTCGTTTAGCTAGTAGAAGTGGAGGATAGGGGCCAGAGGGGCAGACGACAGAGTCCAATGATGGGAGAAAAACAAACAAAAAAGAACAGTGCTCACAACTGTCTCTGGAGGTGAAAGCACCAGAAAATAATTTAAGTCATACGCAGCTGTCATCCGTATGCAAGGAAGTAAACACAAGATGCCGAACACCCTTAGCAGAATGCAGCGCACCTTCCATGCGACTCGCTGAATACCTCACGGCGCTTCGTGCCAGGTGATGTGAGAACCTGGTCCGGTGAGAACCCGGCTTGCTCCGTCCCGGCTTTGTAGGAATGCGAGGTCAATGGTCTAACGACTACGGCATGCACGACTAT